TTTCTCCAGTTGCTAAGACTTCCTTCCTCAGAGATGGGCTCCTGTCCTGGGGCACAAACAATAAATAGTTTACCCTTTCCTTGGAACCTTATAGTTTTATTACCTTGCTTTTGCTCTAAATTAGATCCTGCTCAAAGGGAGTTGCTGCAGGGCAGATCTTCTCTGATAATTTCAGTGAATTACAGCTGCTACACCAAATGCACCTATTTTGTGTAATGGGATTGTGCTACCAGGTGAAAAAACAGGACATGACTTCTTGGAAGTGAGGACACTGAGATGTGTATATAGGTCATAGCACAGATGGCTGGAGAGATTGCTTGACACTAGGACAATGGAGTCCTTTGATGGGGGAAAAAATTTGCTCCTCTAGAACTTGCCTGTCCCTCTGTAATGCTAAAGATGGACTTAAAAGATAAGATGTCCCCAAGAGGTTCAATTAATTTGGCTCTCCCTCCCTGTAGTTTCCAAGATGAAAGTGGGAAGACACTTAGAGGGGAATAGGAGGAGTACAATTTTCATTCTTAAAAAGTCTAGTAAGTTCTTCATTTTAGGGTGAAATATAATTCCTTCTCTCTCCTACTATTGCATATTTCTCTAAAAATAAAAACCACACAAAAAGTAAAGAAACCCTCCCACCAAAAAGAAATGCTGCAGGATTAGAGCTAAATTCTCAATACTAAGGAAAACCCAAACTGAGATTTTCTATGCAGCTTTAATTACAAACTCTTGGGTATAGTGATTATGATGCCATTATTCCTTATGTAACTAAAATCTATATTTCATATACAGGCCTCTGCATTTTTTCTTTTAGCAGCATGGGAGAGAGTAGGAAAACATTATTTAGTGACTCAAAAGGAAGTCCACAGTTTCTTTCAACATGCAAAGGAGCTGTGCAGTCATTAACAATGAAGAAGTGCTGCTAAGATTCAGGATCAGGATCCAGAACCTCTCTGATTCTTTCCACAGAGTCCTGGTATTGTCTGAAGCAAATCTCTAATAATCTTCCTAATGTTTGCTTGTGGTATTATTTGTACTTGTGTTAGGAGTGTAAGGAAGATCAGCCATGAATGTTTACAAATCATTGTGTTTTGTCCCCATCTTAATACAGAGCCTGGATGACAGAAATTGGGCAAGAAGTGCAAACAAGATGGATAGGCAAGCAAGGGAAAAAAACTGAATTTCATCTCATGTCAAGTTTCTCAGCATTGAACACTGAATAAGGCAGGCTCCAAAAAAAAAACATTAATGCCTTAAAACTTTTTGTCAAAATGCAGACACAAAAGTTGCTGAATTATCATTGGCCTTTCAGGGCTTTGGCATCTCTGGGGTTGCAGCAAAGCTCTTTGAACACATAAAATTCTGTGATGCTCCTGTCACCAAAGGCAGTTTCAGTTTGAATGCATTATGCAAAGTGCCCAGAGCTGGCTGCAGAGCAATGGTGTAAAATTCTGTCTTTAAATTTCCACTTACTACCTGTGAAATGAAAGCAAAAGATTTCCTGTTCTCTTTAGCAACAACTTCCATGAAGATGTTGTTCTGTTTCTCTGTTCCTTCTAATTTACAGCATATTCTTGCTGTGGCTTAAAACTTATTGAGAGTGAAAAGACAAATATGAAGAAAGCACAGATGACTTTTAGCAATTTCTGTTCAGGCAAGTTAAAGAGCCTGTCCTGTTTTGCGTCTTAAACTTTTTATTTTTTCAGTATATGTAACAACAAAGAGCAAAGAACTGTTGTGGAAATGTTCAATTCCCCATTCTGATTCTCTCTTCTTTTGATACAGTGTAGTCAGAAGTACAGTTTCTTAAAAATAAGACTTGTGATTCAGACAAAGGAACAATTTAAATGTTTTCATTGTAATAACTCTTTTTTTGATATAGACTTCTACAAGCATTTGTATTTTAAAGTGTTGGCAAATGTCTCAGAAATATCTAAATACTATAACATTTCAGAAACTTTTTATTATAAACATAGATTTCTTAAAAAAATATTTCTGAATTCACACTTTCCTTTGACTGTAGAGCTGAACGCTATTTTTCTTGATGCATATTTTCAGAAAAGATGTTTTCTTGGAACAGGACGAGACAAATCCAGCTGATATATTTGGATCCTTTTTTTAACTTTTTACACCCATCTAGTGGTCACCAGGCAGTACAGCGGGATAAAATTTCTGTTGCAACAGCAATGTCCTTCTCAAGTTTCTCCTTTGCTGGTGATGCAAACCAAAGGACCTCTCCCAGCTGGTGAAACTGCAGTTTTACCTAAGAGACTTCTAAACTTTAAAAATTGACTATGTTACAATCTGACAGTGAAATCATTTATGGAAGCCTGCCTTAGTTTCTGACTGGAAGACTGGTAATATAATATTCATGTGGTGTGCACAAAAGGGGGAAGAAGAAAATAAAAAAAAATACAAATAAAACCATATTTCTTTAATCAAACTGAATACTTTTGATTCAGATGAATATTTACATCCACTGTTAAATAAATCAACTTAGTATTAGCTCTTTATTCAAAATTTTTATTCTATGAGAGGGACTTACATTAAGCTTCATTTATTTATATCCAGCCTTTAAGTTTATGCTCATATATATTTGAAATTATACTGCCATTGCATAAATTAGTTTTACTGAGAACAGTCTTCTGTTTTACGTAAAATTGCAGGAATTATTTACCCTCCTGCCCTCAATAGGAAAAGAAAATATACAGATTATCTATTGATTAGGAGTTTGTGTTTTCTTGAACGGTTTAAAGGGCACGAAAGTTATTCAGGAAACAAAATATTAATTTTAGGAAATTTGGATATGATGAGCTAAGCCCTTCATTAGCATTGTGATTATTTTGTGCTCCTGCAATATTTAGGAATTCAAGCTAAAAAGACATTGATTGATAACAAGTAATAGTAGTCATGCTAGTAACAGTGGCAATGTGGTTATGAATTAATGCCACTACAAGCTGCAAGGGACATTTTACTGTAGTGTTCATGGTATCTTGACCTTTCCAATATATTCTCAAATACCCTTAGTAGAGCAGACTCTTCAGTCAGCACACAGATACAACAAATAGGGGAAATGAAAGGCAAAGAAGAACTCTGCACAGTCCAAGATCACCTGGAAGGCTGGTGGCAGAACTCACCATTTGTTGTCTCATTGTTTAAGTTTTCTTAGTTTGAGGTTCATAAAACATTTTAAGATACAGGCATAATCAAATCAAATCAGTCCTGGGAAGAAATGTATGTGTTTGGATTTACTGACATGTAATGTGTCCTGAAAACTACAGCGAAAAGAGAATTAAATGACTGTGCTCTCCTGAAGTTTTTAAATAATATTTTCTGTCCTTATTTTTTTTAAAAAAAAGAGAAACAAACAAACACTTGCTTTTCTACATTCAAACTGTAAGTGGTGAAACCAAAGAAAATAATATATTCTGAATGTGGCAGTAAGCTTGCAGGTCTAGAAATATGTGCAAAGTAAAAATAAACACTGAAATAATTAATGGAACAAAAATCTATCCTCTGCCAGGCTGTGTGCATCTGCGTCAAAATAAACAATATATGTTTCTTTGATTAGTTCATTTAAGAAAGGACAAAAAGGTCATGGGAATCCGGTCACTTCAGCAAAGGATTGAAGTGGCTACCTCATTGAAACCTCAGGCCAGTGGGAGATAGAACAAGCTGGTACAGGGTAGCACCTACCAGCTGTGACACTTGTGCTAGCCTGAAGTCTAATCAACAGCTGACTTACACTGCATCTTTTCTGCTGCCCTTAGCTGTAATGGAAGCCTGTGGGTGTCCTTCAAATTAGCACTATTTTCAAAATGAATACTTTATATGGGTTCAGCAAAAATGAAAATATGCTGCTAACACTTACCTATGTTTAAAAAAGTATGTGAAAGTTCCTCTGCTCATCCCTTATTCTGAAATGCTTTAGCAGTATTTTTGTCCCCATTAGTATAGCAAATGAGCCTAGAGAGCTTGTCTTGCTAATCCACACATTTGTAACCTCTCAGACTGCATACCACAAGACATCCAAACATGAAGCCACATACTGCAAAAAGCTTCCATACGCTACCAAATGGAGCTGTAGGGCTGTCAAGCAACACAGACTGCCGTGAATGCATCCTCTCAGCACCACCCACCCTGTACTGGTGTTTAATTGTTTGCAGACTCTCGTTCAAGGTCTCTGGACTGATTCTCAAAGCCCTTTGTAGAAACATTACTATCTATGTAAAACAGCATCTACTCTCGCCTTCTCTTTCTTTCTGTTCCCTCATCCTTCAGCCTTTCTAGAGAAAAGTGTTCTCTAGGAATGATAAGCCTCTTTACCACTCTTCATATCAAACCCAATAACCAAAAGTGATTAATCTAAACTGTGTAGCTCAAAGACAAAAATGGCTACAGAAGTTCTGCTGCATGGCCATTAACAAAGGACTCACTACTTCCATCTCTTTGTAAAACAGCAAATTCAATGCAGGCAGATGTGCTCAAGTACATCTCAAGTGCCTTAATGCCACTGCAGCACTTTGTTTACTGGGACAAGATAAAGTATGTACTTGAAATATTTTTTGTAGTAACAAAATATTAGGATTGAGTATGCAATAAGGAAAAACCCCTCAGTTTAACAGTGGGAGACAGGATAATTGGTGTTAAGCTCAGGAGAGTTGGGGCCTGAAGAAGTAAATAGTGAAATATGTTTCCTCTGGTATAGAGCTCATGGATACTCTATATGCAGAGAAGTAGAAAGATTCTTGTATTTCTAATAGCTTGGGATTTTTCTCTGCCAATTTTCTTTTATTTCAGCCTTGGGGTTTTTTTCTTATGAGTAATTTTAAAGTATCTTTCTCGTATGGCTTGTGTTTTTTCAAAGGAGTGGACATGACCAGGTCTTTATTTCTCCACTACTATCAAGACGCAATTAGTTATGATAATTTGTCAGAAGGATGTTTATTATATTTTAAAATTCTTAGGTCAATAAAATACTAAATTTGCTCTTCTTTTTGCAGTTTCGATGTAGACAATGGTACATCATCAGGACGAAGTCCCTTGGACCCCATGACAAGCCCTGGGTCAGGGCTAATTCTTCAGGCAAATTTTGTCCACAGCCAACGTAGGGAGTCTTTCCTTTACCGGTCAGACAGCGATTATGATCTGTCTCCAAAGTCCATGTCCAGGAATTCCTCCATTGCCAGTGATATGTAAGTACCTTATAAAATACTTCTTGTCTATCATTTGTCCAATATCAAGACTTGTGCAGCCACAAGAAAATTTTTTTGAGTAAGTCAGACTGTAATCACTTATGCTAGTGAAGTAATGGAAAATTGTTTGTTTATTTCTTTAATGAAGATTATAGTTGTTCCTGTGGTTTCTTGAAGGATATCATGAGGGTGTACTTGACATGTTTATGCATTTTATTAGCTTTAACAGAATAATAATGACAGTCAATACTGGTGTACTAATATGGTAAGGAGAGCTATTTGCTGACTCTTAACTTATTTTCAAGAGACACAACACTAAGTCAATTTATATTTCTTCATAATTTTAAGGAATACATTCCATTTTTTTCCAGCTGGTAAATCTTATATGTTTTTAGACAAAAGATTTACCAGCTGGAAGAAAAGAATATATTTGAGAGGAAAAAAAATATTACAAATATTGTCTAAATTAAAATAAAAAATTCTAATAAAACACCTTTTAAAGCTTATTCTGTCCTCTCTCACTATTTTGTGAAGTGTGTATTTTCTGCTAGTAAATCATGATTTTCAAGTATGTGTGGACCCCAGGTTCCATGTCTAGTGGAAGTCATGCAAATCTCTGTTTATTAGTAAGACGCCAAAAATATTTAAATATTCCATCTTCTAGTCACTTCTAAGTAGGAGAAATTATTAACTATTTTCTGTTTGGTTAGTTTTTTTTTTGCCTAAATGGCTCCAATATACACTGTCAAATTGGTATTTATTATTCAAATATTTATCTAAAATAAAGGATCAGGCTTGTCAGAATATCACAGTGAATGCTGGCTTTTAATGAGGCAAAGACCAATACATATAATCTTTAAAAAAATAAGAGTAGGCATAAAAAAAGAATAAGAGTTTTTATAAAAATGAATTAAATTAGAGCTGATATTTAACTTAAAGTCATAAATAAACACTCCTATTTTTTCGGCTTATATAATTTTTAGAACAGTTTTGTTTAATTATAGCTTTTTTTCTATATAGAGTTTCAAAGTAAGAAAATTTCCTGCCTTTAGAGAGGGTTAGGGTAAGGTCTATGACTCAGTTAAGATCTGTGGATTGAAATACTCAGTAAGCTTTGTGCCAAATGTGACCAGTTTTTGATGAGACAAAATGGGTTAGAACAAGAAAAAATCACCTTGCTTTTTTATAAAAAATATGCATTTTTCTTTGATATAGTAACTCCCTTCCAGCAAATCTTCCTTTGACAGATTTTTTTTTGAGGGAAAAGATTAAAGGTTTTATTATGGTACCTGTACCAGGATAACATTTGTAAAGATTTTTACATTCAGGACGACAATCTAGCTGACTGTATTGCTTAGATGAGTCATTTCAATGAAAAATTCAATTAGTGCTCCATCCTTGAACTCACAATCCACTTAATTTCCTAGAATTTTGGGTAATATTTCAGCACATGGCAGTAAATTGGATAAACAATATAATTACTGAAACAGCACATATTCTCCCCCTTTTTCCCCCCTCTCTATTTTCTTTTCAAATTTTTCTGGAAACACATTTAAATATAAAATTTATTTGACCTCACCTCTTGATAGATTATCACAATCTTTTGTCACAGATGAACCTTTGTACTAAGATGGTAAATATTCCTGCCACTGTTTTGGAGGGGAGCACATTACAAAATGTAAAAGGCAAGTTGTTCTCACCATGGAATATTAATCATTTATCAATAAGCCTAATTATAATAAACTTGGCTGTATCATAGAAATTAAGTGAAAGAAAGACAGGGAATAAAATAGGGGAAAGTTAAAAAGGATAAAATAGCAAGGAATAAAAAATAAATGTCACAAAAGTCCTTATGTATGTTTCAACCATAAACTGAATGTGCTTATGAAAAGAAAACCCATCAAATGTTATTAAAATAAAGAAACAATTCTGATTCAGGACCTTGCTAAATGAGGTGGAAGATGAAAGGGTTGAGAGAGGAAGTACACAAATTTTAGGTTAGTGTCAAATTATTCTATTTCCCTTTTGCATTTATATACATGTTTAAGTATTGTTTGTTTTTTAAACATGAGCAATGCATGATACAAAATATATGTATCATTCAGGTAATGTAAGTCAATTAATTGTACACAGCAGTTTAGTTTAGATCCCCTGATTCTTCAACCAGCCTCAATATTTCACTTTGTAAAGAAAAAGACAAAGCAAAAGGCATATGTTTTGTATTTGAAAGGGGTAGAACATCAAGAATTCTGGCATTTACATTACTCTGAAATACTGAACTTATAATAATACTTTCCAGTCAGTTGCAATGCTTCAAAATTTTAGTCAGATGTGGAATGTCATGTTCAGACAGCCAGTGGATGGCAGTGCTAAAGTGCTAAATGCGTCGTGTCATTATTTATTATGTATGCAGCTCCAACCAAGGTAGGGAACAAATTGTGCTCAGTTGTTTGCAAACCCAAAATGAAAAGATGGGCTCTGCTAAAAACAACCTATAAAGTCAAAATATAAGATGATAACCAAGAGACTAATACAGTCAGATACTATCCCCAGGAGAAGATACAATACAACACTAACCTCACACAGAAAGCAAAGGGAGTTCCATTCAGGGAGTTGAGAAAGTAAAGAAACAAGGGAAGAGAATGGATAGGTGGAATGTTTTTTAAAATCAGAGAATCCAAAGTATATTTTCATGAATTAGTTATGGAAAATAATAAAAAGACAGGATGAGTGCAAGGCTGCTTTGATGAGAGAAGGTTGGTGGGACAATTGTTGGTGCAGTTAGAAGAAAAAATAGCTGAGTGTAAGAAAAGAAAAGCACATAAATTGGAATGGGGGTCAGTAATATTGTTTTAATTATCCCTTGGAAGAAATAACTTGGTCTTTGAGAATAATAAAAGCAGGACACATATTTATAAGATATTAGAAAAAGCTGCTAAAGTTTGTGAACTGGAGAGGTGAATAATTTACAGGAATATACAAGGTCCAAGTCAGATGAGCACAGGTGTGTTGTGAAACCTCTCTGTGGGATTTCCAGCAGATTTCCAGAAAAGGATGTGAAAGAGAAAAAGTAGTAACTGAATGAGGCAGTGAGGGGTAGTGAGATAATATGAGAAATTATAGTTCAGGATCTGTGATGAAAGACAAGAAAACAAGTTTAAAGGGAAGAAGAATAAAGAATTGAAAACAAAAACAAAAACAAAAAAACCCAAACAAAACAAGCAAGCAAACAAACAAACAAAAAACACTCAAAACAAAACAAAACAAAACAAAACAAAACAAAACAAAACAAAACAAAAACAACCCAAAGAAAGGTCCCAACAGCAACACAGAGGAGAAAGGAAGTAGTATCTAGATGAAAGATGTACAAAATTATTATTGGAAAAATTGTCAGGCCTATAGTTAAAGACATTAGTGAAGCAGAGAGCTATGTGGATGTCTTGCTGAGGTGGTCTGATTGCATTTTGCTGACTTGTTTGAACTGAGGTGTCAAATGCAGGAAGAGCTTGAAGTGATAACACTTTTTATACTCTTTCTTGTTAAAGGGATCACTGCCCTGGTTAATGGAGGAAGAGATCAAATTAGTAGAGAATTTCTGTTTTAGCAGAACCCAGGTCTCTAATCAGGTTAAAAAATAGGTTCCTGGAAAAAAAAAAAAAAACAGTAATCTGTCCAGTGCTGCATCACAGCCCATGTTTTATGCCACTCTGAAGGGCAAAAACACATATAATCCTCTCTGTGTTTCTGAAAAAGCAGACCAGAGGGTAGAAGTCTAGACCAGAGGACCAAGACATTCTCAGTAGACAGGTCTGCCCAAACTCCATCCTGTCTTCTGAGTGTAAGAAGACATCTGACATCTCATTTAAGCCTGTTCTCCCATTTCCACAAGCTCTCAGAACACAGTGCAGCACAGCACAGTTATCTTGGTTTCCTCAGGACTTGGCCAGCTGAACCTCACTCATAAAAAAGCAACTGCTGGGGGAGTTTTACAGCTTTAATTAGAGAAGGTCAGCATTGTTTTCTTCATCAGCTTATCACTATAAGCTCCAACTAGTATCATTTCAATTAAAACTTGCTTGTATTCATAAAAGGAGCAGAACCCAGCCAAGGAACTCTGGGTCACCATGCACCCATTCCCTGACCTGGACAACCTTCTGCTACTCAGTCAGTAACTTCTGAAGACAGCAGCATCCCTCTGCTGCTGTCTATGATAAAAGAAATATCAAGAGGATGAATGTCCAGGATATTTTCTCTACAGCTACAGTTACAGAGGATATATTTTCTCATCCTCTAAGGCAAACTTTTTCTCTTTTTTCTGAACCAGTAAGGCCTTTTATTAATCAAATATTGTGATTATGAATATTAAGTTATGGAGGAAAAACACATCTTTTTCATGAAATGCGCTAGCCAAGATTCTAGTACAGCAGACAAGACGTGTTTACTGAGAGGAGTAATTGCACTTCTGTTTAAAAAATTAGAAATAATTATCTACTCTCCAGAAAATTTGCAGCTGAAATTCCTTTTAATCATATTCTTTTCTAGGAATCTCTAATATTATTGTTTAGTGCTCATTACTGGCTGATAATGAACAGTTAAACTTCAAAGTCCAGCCTGCTCTAAAAAAGAAGCATTTTCTATGTGTGTCTTTGTTTAGAAACAATATTTAATTAAAAAAATATATTTGATTGCTTGAGACATTTATTTGTTAGTGTAAAGAAATATAGTTACATCACTTCAGGAAAAACAGGCAAATATTTTGCTTCATTTTCTTTTTCTTTTTTTTTAAGATGCTTAATATAAATTCCAGATTGCAGCTTAAATTAATCTAAGTTATTTGTAAGTCACAGACAGTATATTTTGAACTATAAATGAAGAAACTTTGAAAAAAAACATATGATTGTCCTTTCAGATTGTTTGACACATTTTACAAGTGAAAGTCAAAACAAATAACTCAACTTAGAATGCAACTACCTTAAAGTTGAATAATAAATTTGTATTAA